GGTTGTCAGCTGTTATGTAGATGCTGGGAACTGAACACAGGTCCTCTGCAAGAGCAGCCAGTGCTCTTAACCTCTGAGCTATTTCTCCAGCCTGGCTCTTCAATTTTAAAAAGTCTTTTTTTTTTTTTTTTGGTGGAGAGGGTTTGGAAAGATGGCTCAGTGGTTAAGAGCACTGGCTGCTCTTGCAAAGGACCCAGGTTCAATACCCAGCACCCTCATGGCGGCTCATAACCATTTGTAATTCCAGTTCTAGAGGACTCTGATGCCCTCTCTGACCTCTGTGGGCACTGCATGAGATGGGTGCATTTACCTACATGCAGGTAATATACTCATTCATAAAAATAAAAATAAATTTTAAAAGAAGTTTTTTGCTTTTCTGAGATATCTCACTATATATATAGCCCTGGTTAGCCTGGAACTTGCAATGTAGAACAGGCTAGTGAACTCACAGGTATTCACCTATCTCTGCCTCCCAAGTGCTGGGTTTAAAGGTATTCCAGGTCCTGCAAAAGTCACCTTTTTTAAAAAATTTTTGTTTATATGAGTGTGTTGCCTGCATGTGTGTAAGTGCACCTGTGTTGTGCAGTGCCCTTGGAGGTAAGAAGAGGGCATCAGATTTCCTGGAACTGGAATTATGGATGGTTGTTAGCTGTCATGTGGGTGCTGGAAATTGTGCTTGGAAATCTGCTAAAGCAGCCAATGCTCATAACTGCTGAGCCTTTTCTCCAGCCCCCGAAAGTCACCTTCTTAGAGAGGCCTTTGCTGACCACCACTCAGTCATTATCAGCAATTGACTTCCTTTACAGCATTACACTGAAATTCTTTAACTTCCCCTCCCTGAGTTTCTCCATTGCTAGAGAGGAACAGTTTTGTTCATTGCTACATTCGAATGTGTAGAACAATTCCTGTGCCACTCCAAAACTACTTGTTGCCCACACAGATGGGTGAAGCCGGGGTTGAGGTGGGGCTTGTTGCCCAGACGCAGCTGAAAGGTGCAGTGGATGAGTCCTGGTGTGGCAGAGTTTCCACCAAGCCATCTTTTTCCTTGTCTACAGAAAGCAAAAATGGAATAATGTGAGATGGACTTACAGCTAAATGACAGGCAAGATTTTCATAATACATCAGGTTGAAATAATACTGAACACAGTGATTTCCCTACTATGGAATCACCATCTGGATTGGGCAAATGCCTACTGTCAGCCTGGAGTGGTATCAAATGCCTGTAGTCCTGCTACTCAGCAGGCTGAGACAGGAGGATTGCAAGTTAAACACCAGCCTGGCCTATGTACTGAAACCCTGACACAACAAAACAAGAAAGCTCCAATTGTTTGGGACCTTTTGCACAGGGAGAGGGCTGAAGTCTACAAATGTTGCAGGTAACTAGTCCAACTCCCAACTCAGAGGCAAGAGAGGCACCAGGACTCTGGAATCCTACACCTGTGTGCATGTCAAGAATCAGAGCTTCGCAGCAGAGGTGCAATAGATTTGCATCTTGTTCTAGTCTGCCTTCAATTGCTGTGACAAAACACTGACCAATAACAACTTTGGGAGGAAAGGGTTTATTTTATCTTACATCTCCTGGGTCACAGCTCATCACCGAGGGAGCCCAAGGTAGGAACGCAGGGCAGGAGCTAAAGCACAGGCCATGGAGGAACACTGCTTACTGACTTGCTCCCCTGTGCGTTCAACCTGCTTTTTACATAAGACCAACTGCCCAGGGGTGGCACCGCCCACAGTGAGTTGGGCCCTCCCACACCACTCAGCTATCAAGAAAAATGCCCCACAGACATGGCCATAGGCTAGTCCAATGGAGGCAGTCCCCTAATCGAGGCTCCTCTACCCAGGTGTGTCAAACTGACAATTAAAGCTATCCAGCACACAACTCCATGAATGCAAAAGCCAAAAACACAAGCAGGAGGTAAGAGTGGAGAAAAATATATTACCTGTAGCAGGTCTGGGGTTATTTCCATCCCAAAGAATGACTGGATGGGTCTCTGGCTCAGGGAGCTTACACATATCCATATAGGAAAGCACTGTAGTGTATGCATGGGGCAGATTCCTGAGCATGCTGAGACTAAGGTCATGGGTCAAGAAGGAAAGATGACAGACTCTTCTGGAAATGCTGACTCAGGTCTTAGCACATATGTTCAAAAGTTAATATGAAGCCTGGTGTGGTGGTGCAGACCTTTAATTCCAGTAGTCAGGAGGCACAGGCAGGCATAGCTCTGTGTTTGAAGCCAGTTTGGTCTACATGGGACAGCCAGAGTTGCATAGTGACAACCTGTCTCAAGAAAAGAACAGAACAAAGAAAAAAAGAGAGTCAGAGGGTGCAGGTGGTCAATGCCAATAAACCCAATACTCTGGGAGGCAGACAAGGGGGATCAGGAGCTTGAGACCAGCCCTGGCCACACAGTAGAGTTCCAGGCCAGTCTAGGTTATGTGAAACTCTGACCCAAAGCAAAAACAGGAAGAGGGTGTTTTATAATTTAGTTGGTACGGTGCTTGCCTAGCATGCACGAGATCCTGGGTTTGATTTCCAGCACCATGTACAACTGTTGTGTTGGCGTACGCCTATGATCCCAGCACTTGTGAGGTAGAGGCAAGAGAATCAAGGTTATTGTCCATTGTACAGTGAATTCAAGACCAGCCTGTACCACATAAGAGACCCTGGCTCAAAATAAGCTAAACCAGCCAAGACTGGTGGCTCACACCTTTAATCCCAGCACTCAGGAAGCAAAGGAAGCTGGATCTCTGTGAGATTGAGGTCAGCCTGGTCTACACAGTGAGTTCCAGGCCAGACAGGGCTACATAGTGAGACTCTGTCTCAAGAAACAAAATAATTAAAACCCACACCCAAACAAACAAAAAACCCCAACAGGGGAGATGGCTCAGTTGGTTAAGACACTTGCTGCTGAGCCTTCCTGAGTTGGATTCTCAAGGACCCACAAGGTGGAAGTTGAGAACCAACTCCAGCAAGGCATCCTTTGCCACTCACTAAAAAACGTTAAGCAAGAGGACAGGAGGATTGCCACAAGTCAGATTGAATGCCAAGTTTAGGTTGCTTACATAAAGCTAGTGGTTTGAGGATCTTATAGGCTATAGGCTGATTCCCAAGATTCTTTGTAAAAAATACAGTTTTAGCCGGGCGTGGTGGCGCACGCCTTTAGTCCCAGCACTCGGGAGGCAGAGGCAGGCGGATCTCTGTGAGTTAAAGGCCAGCCTGGTCTACATAGTGAGTTACAGGACAGCTGGGGCTACAGGGAGACCTTATCTCAAAAAGACCATATATATATATATGTGTGTGTGTGTGTATAAAAGACCCTATATATATATATGTATATATATATATATGTATATATATATATATATATTTTTTTAAATTTTTTATGTGTAAGTGCACCCATGCGTGCAATGCCCATGGAGGTCAGGAGAGGACATCGGACCCTCTGGTATTGTTACAGACGATTGTTAGCTGCCATGTGGGTGCTGGGAATCCAACCTGGGTCCTCTGCAAGAGCAGCCAGTGCCCTTAACCACTGAGCCACCTCTCCAGCCCCCTCAAGATTATTTTTCTGAATTTTTAAAAATCATGTTTATTATTTTACGTGCTCGCGTGCATTGCCGGCATAGAAGTGCACCATGTCGTGCAATGCCCACGGAGGCCAGAAGAGGGCGTTAGATCTCCTGGAAGTAGAGTTAGCCGCCATGTGGATAGTGGGACCCGAATTCGGGTCCCTTGCAGGAGTAGCTAGTGGTAACCGCCGAGCCAGCGCTCCAGGCCCCGTAGAATGTTTAGCTAGCTGCTTTACCTTTAAAGCCGCGGTTCGAACCAGCCGCTGCCTGCCCGGCTCCCCACGGTCAGACCACTCTGAGCCTTCACAGGCCAGCGCGGGGCCGCTCTAGCCCACCTCTCAATCTACTGCTCTCCGGGCCCCTTAACAACGCGCCTTCTGATTGGCGCAGTCACTGGCGGTGCGTGGTGGCGTCACGACAGCGCGACGTTGCTATAAGACGGCGGCTGGCCGGCGCCCTGCCTCTTTCTGTCTGGGGTGTGAGCGCGTAGGTGAGCAGTTGCGAGTGGTGTAGGTCAGTTTGCGGGGTGACGGTCGTGGGGTCCCCTAACTTGCACGCGCACGCGGAAGAGGGCCGAGAGCGGGGCGGTTGGAAGGGAGTGCTGCGCGGCTGCGGGACCCCAGTTTCAGAGGCTCGGGCGAGTCTCGCGAGAACCCCTGGAGCGCTCGCGTGGTCCTCGCGGAGGCCTGCCACTGCGCATGCGCAGCAGCTCTTTGACGCTCCTTTTACGCGCAGGCGCAGCCGGCAAGCAGCGCCACAATGCCCGTGGCCAGGAGCTGGGTTTGTCGCAAAACCTATGTGACTCCGCGGAGACCGTTCGAGAAGTCGCGGCTCGATCAGGAGCTGAAGCTGATCGGTGAGTGGCCGAGGCGGCGTTCCGGGTTCGGGATCTGGGGCGGAAAGTAGAAGCTAGCTCGCCATGAGGTCCACATGCTCGTCCCGGGAGCCCAGTGTGCGCTCTCCCCACCGAGGGTTACGGTTTAGCTTGCCTCTGCGTATCCTGCAGTCCAGGTGTTGGAGCGTTGCTTAGCCCCATCGCCCCCTTCACTTTCACGTGCAGGCGAATATGGGCTCCGGAACAAACGTGAGGTCTGGAGGGTCAAGTTTACTCTGGCCAAGATCCGCAAGGCTGCTCGGGAGCTGCTGACGCTGGATGAGAAGGACCCACGCCGGCTTTTTGAAGGTGTGTGTGCCCCTCCCCCCTCGAAAGGATGGGTGGTCGTGAGGTTGCGGAGCTGGGGACTATGGTGATGGGAGGTGTGACGTTATAACAAGTTTGGGCAGCCTGTGACTTCCTGTGCCTATATTTTGAGATGGAGGCTCTGACCCAGGCTGGCCATGCGACCTCAGTCTATTTGGTGAGGTGGGAGCCTGGGGTTCTTGACAGTTCTTTCTGTAGCCCCAGGACCTGGAAGTCATAGCTGGGATTAAAGGTGTGTACCACGCTTGTTTTGAGATTTTTATTTTATGTACTGCCTGCCTTGTAGGTAAGTGCACCCGTGTCCTGCAATGCTTGAGGAGGACAGAAGAGACTGTAGGATCTCCTGAAACTGCGAGTTACGGACAGTTATTAGCTGCCATGTGGGTGCTGGGATTCGAACCTGGGTCTTCCGCAAGAACAGTCAGTGTTCTTATCTGATGAACCACCTCTCCAGTCCTCACCTTGAGGTTTTGAACTCGGACTTCGAAAGGTTTAGACCCCTGGTTTGGAGCAGGTGTATGTGAGGGTCACTTGTTTCCTTGGGTAGAAGTGAAAGTTGCTAAGGAGTAGTTTTTTTGCCAGGAGTACTTTGTAGTACAACCATTTAGCCAAGGTCAGAGCCCTGGAGCCTGCCACAGCAGGTGTCTGGTAATGTATTTTAGGCACTGACTTGATACCCCTGTTTTGATTCAGTTCCAGCCTTTGGCATGCGGTTTATGACTGTCAGGAAGGGTTCAGATTAGAAATTGCAGCATATTAATACCTGCCTTGTGCCATCACAGGAGTCTCTTCTGAGGTGCTCACTTTCTGAATAATTATCTTTAATATTCTTTTGTGTATTGCATGCATGTAAGTGCACCTGTGTCACACAGTGCCCATGGAGGACAGAAGAGGTCGTTGGATTCCCTGAAACTGCAGTTATGGATGGTTGTTAACTGCCATGTGGGTGGTGGGATTTGAACCTGGGTATATCTGCAAGAACAGCCAGTGCTCCTAACTGCTGAGTCATCTCTGAAGTCCATAATTCTTTATTTTTAATTGTAAGATTGTTTAGTCTGCATGTAGCTAAGTGCATTCATGTTGTGCAATTTCCGCCGAGGTCAGAAGAGGGCGTCAGACTCATATTGGAATTAGCTACCATGAGGGTGCTGGTAGCCTAAACCATGTCCTCTACAAGGGCAGTCTGTTCTTTTAACCACAGCCATCCTCCCAGCCCTCGAGGTACACAAGTTTAAAACATTTTAAGCCTGTCAGTGTTGGTCAGTTGGAGACCCTGGACCCTTCAGTGGTGGGGCGAGCTCTTGTGACTGTCAAGTTGATGAGTGCATTTCGGGGTCACACAGGATGAGTTCTGCAGTGGAGTGGCTGATCTATGAGGGTTTAATGTTCTAGTAAAGATGAAGTCAAACTTTCCATTTTGGGTGCGTTTTTGTACCTGGATGTCTGACCAACGTTTAAAATTAAGATACTGAGGCATGGTATGTCTCGGTTTTTATTCCCTACTTGTGGTTCCTTGCTAGGTGACTGGCCTTCATAGTTCAGCCAGCTTTCCTTCAGACTCTTGGGAGAATAATCTGAGGAGTATTGAGTATCCAGCAAATGCGGTTCGTTTTGCAGCAGTAACGATTCTGGGTTTTTATTTTTTTCTTTTGGACTTTCTTGAGACAGGGTCTCCTTGTAGCCTCAGCTGGCCTGGAACTCACTATGTAGGCCAGCCTGGGCTTTACCAAGGCATGTGCCACCACGCTTGCAGGATTCTGTTTTTGAGACTGACTCCTGTATCAGCTGCTGCCTCGTACAGTGTAGCTGAGGTTGTCCTTGAAGCTGCAGCCGTGCTGCCATAGCCTCTTCAGCACTTATTCAAGCCCAGCTAAATGTGACTTGCTTGGTTTTGAGATAGGGCCTCTGACCCACTGTTTCCAGTCAGTACTCAAGTAGGCCTTCAACTCCTGATCCTAGGCGTGTGCCACCACACCCAGTTTTATGTGGTGCTAGGATCAAATGCAGGGCTCTCCGTGCTGCCAACCCGAGCTACAACTCCAGCCCTGTGAAAGTAGGGCTTTTTTAGAGTAGGCCTTTAGTGTTAAAGGGTGGGTAATGAGCACTCTGGCTGTGTGATGGTGACATGCCCAGTGGTAACAGGGTGAGTTCCTGGGCAGCCCCCTGCCTGCCTGGAGCCATGAAGTAGGGTGGATCCTTGGCATATTCTCAAGCCTGGAGTTGCTATAAGAAAGGCATAGCATGTTAGGTCCTTTTTTCCTGCAGATGAGGTGGACAGGTTCTTCATGAGAACATCGCCACTTTTGAAGTGGGTGAAAGCTGCCTTAAACCTGCCTTAATGAGACTTCGAAACTAAAGAGTCAGTATATCCTGTATGTGTTAACTCTAATCTGGCTCACCACCAAGACATGGAGCCATTACAAGGTAAAGCCAGGATGTGAACCCAAGGCATCTGGCATCAGACCTGAATTCCGTGTTTCTGTGTTTCTTCCCATTCCCAGGCAATGCTCTGCTGAGGCGACTTGTTCGAATTGGGGTGCTGGATGAGGGCAAGATGAAGCTGGATTATATCCTGGGCCTGAAGATTGAAGATTTCTTAGAGAGGCGGCTGCAGACCCAAGTCTTTAAGCTAGGCCTGGCTAAATCGATCCACCATGCCAGAGTGCTCATCCGTCAGCGCCACATCAGGTAATGCTGAATCCAGCTAGGTTCCGGAGGCTTACCCCATCCTGTCCCCTCATGGTTGCCTTTGTTAAGCTGCTGTCCCCATCTCCTGTGCAGCCCTCGGAGCTGACAAATGTGTGAGCTCACCTTGTGGGTACCCAGTCACGCCCTGCAAAAAGCTCATGGGGAAATAGGGGACCTTGTCTCCCCATAGCCCAGCGCAAGGGTCACTGCGGCTCAAGCCGTACACCTTGCGAAGGCCTCGGCCAGGCATGCAAGTGCTGGACAGGTAATACCTCTTGGTGCCCCCTTAGAGGGAAAGGATCGGGCCTGTGGTGGTTGGGTAGGCTCAGCTGTTGGCTGAGCTTATTGTGAGATCCAGTCCAAACCCTCATCACTTGGATTTGTCCTTGTGAATCTGTGGATTCAGTTCACCTGGCCGAAGTGACAGTGCACACACAGTTGAAGGGATGTGGGTATGCATTTTGCCCTCCTGTAAAGTGAGCTCCATTTGGGGAAGCTGTACATACAGATGTAGCCCTGGAGTTCTCCCCTCTAGCCTTGTGACTCATGGGCAAGAGCTTTCCTCATTGTTTCTGAGTTTAGCCTCAGGGTAAGGAAACCAGTGATCAGTGAGGTCAGTGCCAGGCATGGATGAGTGTTTGAAAAGGCCTTTGCTCATTCTGAGCTGTTAGTTACTTTGTGGGTTTTGCCTTTGTGGGTTATGTTCCTTTTGTAAAGTGGACAAGAAATTCATCCTGGAGCATTGGTATGGGTTCTGAGATGCCCGGAGCCACCCATAAGTTGGCTGGGGCCTGTAAGGTCAGCCTGCTGTCAGTCAGTGCTGTGGTGCTGTCTGCTTGAGCTTAGGACAGGTGAGAAGGACTTAATGGGTCCAGCCTCTCCTTGTCCCTGTACTTAGCCTGCTGTTCCCCATTCAGGGTCCGCAAACAGGTGGTGAACATCCCGTCCTTCATTGTGCGGCTGGACTCCCAGAAGCACATCGACTTTTCCCTCCGCTCTCCGTATGGTGGTGGCCGCCCGGGCCGAGTGAAGAGGAAGAACGCCAAGAAGGGCCAGGGTGGTGCAGGAGCCGGTGATGATGAAGAAGAGGATTAAGCCCATATCTCCCTGAGCTGGAATATGTCTAGTTTTCCAGTTGGCTTAATAAAAGAGGATCAACACTTTGGAATTGACTTATTGGTGTTACCCTCTGGTGGGAAGAAGCCCTGCTGAGTATAGGCCAGGCCTCTGCACTACTTGGTACATTCAGATGTTCTCAGGAGCCAGAGTGCTGTTAACCAGATACTTGTAAGCAGCCTCCAGAAATCTTAGGACCACAGTGGAAATACAGCAACAACCTCTGTTCAGACCACAGCCCAGCTATTTGTGCAGTGGGGATGGGTGGCACATAGTCATTTACAGGCAGGGAAGGTCTTGCCCAACCTGACCTCAGGCCTTGATACTGAGCTGTTCACTGAGTCATTAGCAACCAAGGCCTCAGAACCTGGCTGGTTGAAAGTTTGCAGAATGGCTTACATTTGGCAAGCTTTGATTATTATTATTTTTTTAATTTTTATTTTTTTATTTTATGTGTATGAGTATCTTGCCTGGTATGTAAGTGCACCCTGTGTTGTGCATTGCCCATGGAGTCAGAAGAGGGGTTGTATCCTGTGGTTGTTAGCCACCGTATGGATGCTAGGAACTGAACCTGGGTCATCTGCAAGAATAGCTAGTGCTCTTGACTGCTGAGCCATCTTTCCAGCCCCCAAACTCCAATTTTGAGTCCTAGGGTCTTTGGCCAGGGCCGTTTAAGGAACTTGAATATGGACTTCTGTGTACTCATGGTCAGGAGGGAGGCTGGCTTCCCTTTTCCTCTGCCTTAGAAGTTTGGGTTAGATGGGAAGTGGTTGAAATTGAGCAATTCTTGAAGCAACAGCTGCCTCACTAGAGTTGATAACCCTAGGAATCCCAGTCAAGTGGTCAGCTCCAATGCTGAGACATGTTTGGGGTAGTGGATGCCCAGTCCATTAGAGCATAATGGGGTTAAGTAGTAGGCCCTTCCCTTACACACATGCAGACGCTCCCTTGGGCCCTCTGCAGTCTGCTTGGAGAGTTTGTCTTGTTCGAGTGAGCATTGTGTTCACTGGGCCCACACAGAGAGGCTTGGCTTTGGAGCCAGGTATTGGGGAAGGCCTTGGGGTTTGGGGAGGCAGGTTAGGGGCTCCCAGATCTCCCTCTTGTCCTATACTTGGGGTATCTATGCCAAGGAGGGGGTATATATGGGTAACAGAACATGGGCAGCTGATGGCTCGGGGCAGTTTGGTAGGTATACAGGTGCTAGGGAGAGGTCAGGGCTGGAAATAAGCTGAGGAGCTTTCAACATGGAGAACAGACCCCAGACATCGCTGCCAAGATTCCAGTGCAAAGGTGTGTGGTGGGAGCCTGCTGCTCCCTCTTCAAGGAGTTTGATTTCTCAACAAAGGTTGGGTGAAGGAGCTAGATTTTGGGACCCCTCCAAGTCTGTCACCTGTTCTGGTGCAGGCGCAGGCTTCAGGGTAAGCGCCAACTTGAGGCTGAGGGGAGACCAGTGGGAGTGAACAGGAAGACCCTAGTATCACTATCCCACAGGCATGTGTGCTAGGGCTTGTTGGGTAGATGATGCAGGAAGTTGGAAATGGCCTTCAGTGCATGGTAGAGCCTCCCCAGAGCTGCAGCGAGGTCTACAATGTTACCTGGGAAGACTTGGGGTCCATTTCCATTTCCATGTAGAATTCAAGACACCGGTTTCACTTGCTTAGAAATTGGAAAATCTAGTGATAAACCTAACCAAGGAGATGGAACAGTGAAGAAAAATAACTGGGGAGATGATCAGTCACTTTTTAGGTCACCGGTGGAGCTAAAAAGCTGGGTGCTGCTGTAATCCCAGAGCTGCAGAGGAAGATCCCTGGAGCTCAGTAGCCAGCAAGCCTAGCCAAATGGACGAGAGCTCTGGGTTCAATAAGAGGTCTTGTGTCATTTGGGTGTGGTGGTGCATCCCTTTAATCCCAGCGCTCTACTCAGGAAGCAGAGGCAGGCAGATCTCTTGAGTTCTGTGAGGCTAGCATGGTCTACATACTGAGTTCCAGGCCAGCTGGGGTTACAGGGAGACACTGTCTCAAAAATGCCACAAAAAAAAAAAAAAAAGAGGCCCTGTCCTGGCTTGGAGGCTAGCATTGTCTAAATACTGAGTTCCAGGCCAGCTGGGGTTAAAGGGAAACACTGTCTAAAAAATGCCAAAAAAAAAAAAAAAAAAGAGGTCCTGTCTCTGCCTCTCCCATCCCAAAAAAGATGGAGAGCAATTGAGGAAGACAGCCAGAGTTGATCTCTGGCTCCACATGCACATATGTACACACATGCACATGTGCTCACACAAAATGGAAGACACCAGAAGGTAGAAAGACCTCCCATGTTCATGGATCAGAATTAATGTGAAATGGCTATATTAACCAAAACAATTTGTAGATTCAACATGATCCCCCCTCAAAATTCCAATGACATTCTTCATAGAACTTGAAAGAATCAAACTGTAGGGTGATGGACACCTATAATCCTGGCTTTCCAAAGGCAGGGGCCGGACTGCACATAACTTTGAGGGCAGTCTGGTCTACATAATTCCACATTTGCCAGGGCTACCTAGTAAGACTGTCTCAAAAGACCAAACAAAACAAGGAAAACAAAATAAAAGGACTAGAGATGGCTCGGTCAGGAGCGGTTGCTGCTCTATTCTGAGGGTAGGAGTTTGGAAGCCAGTGTCCCACTGGGCACCTCGAGAATGCTTTTAACTCCAGCTCTAGATCCTCTTCTGGCCTTTGTGGTCACCCATGTGCATATACAGTCACACAGACATAAATAAAAATAAATCTTAAAAAAAAAAGAGCCAGGCGTGGTGCTGCACATGCACGCCTTTAATCCCAGCACTCAGGAAGGAGACAGAGGCAGGTGGATCTTTGTGAGTTCGAGGCCATTGTGATCTACACAGCAAGTTCCAGGCCAGCTGGGGCTACAAGGAGAACAAACCAAAGACCCCCCAAGTATTCTAATTCTAAACAGAAAGAGCAATGTTCGTGGTATCACCATACCCAATTCATATCACCATACCCAATTTCAAATTATACTATGGATCCACAGCAACAAAACCAACCCGGTATTGACACAAAAACAGACATACAGAACGAGGGAGTGGGAGAGACCTGGAGCCGAGGATGCTGTCGCAGGCCTGTAAGCTCAGTATCAGCTGAGGCTGATGCGCAAGTTCAAGGTCAGCCTCAGTTACATAGCAGCTGTATGTAGCCAGGGCTACATCATATCTGATGTACAACAAACAACATATAACAAAGGAAAAGAAAAAAAAATCCTACAGAAAACCTACAGAGGATGGAAAGTAGGGTTCAGGGAACACTAGGCAAGAGCTCTGCCACTGAGCTCCAGGCACAGCCTTCCTGTTATTTCATGTGTATGAGTGTATGTTGCCTGCATGTAACTGCACCCATGTTGTGCAATGCCCACAGAGGTCAAAAGAGGACATTGCATCCCTGGGGACTGGAATTATGGAAAAGTTGTTAGTCTCCCTGTGCATTCTGGGAACCGAACCCAGGTCTTCTGCAAGAGCAGTCGGTGCTCTTAACCATTGAGCCATCTTTCCAGCCATCCTAGAAGTTTCTAGCCTCCTACCTCAGGCTCCAGAGTAGCCAAGACTTCGGGTCTGTGCTCCCAGGCCCAGCAAATTTCGAATTTTAAGCTACCCACCTTCCAAAGCAAAAAAAAAAAAAAAAAAAAAAAAAAAAAAAAAAAAAAAAAAGTACAAAAAAAAGAAAAATGGCCAAAGAGAAACTGTGTGGTCGCAATGTTTTATTTTTGACTGTTACTGAAACTTAATTCTTCTTTTTCAGTTTCTTTAAGTGACCACATCTAGGTTATGCAAGAGACCTTCTTTGTTCTGTTTTGTAATTTCCTTGTTAAATTTTTGTTAGTTATTATTCCTGGTCTGATAAACGTTGTTGAGCTGTTTCCTCATTCTCTAGTTTCAGAAAATCTATTTTATAAAAGTATAATTGTAAGGAAGAAATAACCAGCAAAGCTTCTGGAAATAGTATTTCCAACGGGGAGACATTTCTAGTGACAATGTGTTAAATGTGTGTGGAGCAATTTAGATTTTATTTATTTATTTATTTATTTATTATTTTTGGTCTTTTTGAGACAGGGTCTCCCTGTAGCCCCAGCTGGCCTGGAGCTCACTATGTAGACCAGGCTGGCCTTGAACTCACAGAGATCTGCCTGCCTCTGCCTCCCAGGTGTTGGGACTAAAGGTGTGCATCACCTCACCCAGCCCACAATTCCACACAATAAAAAATTTTAGTAGCATTGTAGGGATCTGACATTTTTGTCCACATCTTCTAATATGTTGGGATAAAACTGTTCATAGTGGCTGGTCATGTTTATAATCCTAGCACTTGGGAACCAAGGCAGGCTGATCTGTGTGAGTTCCAGGCCAGTCTGGTCCACATAGGGAGTTCCAGGCCAGCCAGGGCTACATAGTGAGACTTTGTCTCAAAAAAAAAATGTTTACAGTGTTGTGCTTTTATCTTTTTAATAAATGGATGTACAGGGCTGGAGAGATGGTTCAGCTGTTAAGAATACCAGTTCTTGCAGAGCACCCAGCTTCAGTTCCCACCATTCAACAAACTTGAGCTGCCAAACGCAGCTCATGGCAGGCCATTACTATGCCTGTAACTCCAGTTCCAGGAGATCCAATACCCTCTCCTGGTCTCAGTGGGCACGTGCACACATGTGGTGTACAACACAGACACACATATATACACATAAATAAAAGAGATAAAAGTAAATCGTAAAAAAAAATAAAATGAGGGTAGAGCTGTATACATCAGGAGCCTGAGGCAGGAGGGCAGCGAGTTTGGGGGATCGCAGACCCGCACTGCCTACCCAACTTTCAGTCATGGTTTGTTTCTGTTTTTGAGACAGGGTCTCCCTGTAGCCCTGGCTGACCTGGAACTCACTATGTAGACCAGGCTGGCCTTGAACTCACAGCGATCTGCCTGCCTCTGCCTCCCAAGTGCTGGGATTAAAGGTGTGTGCCACCATGCTCGGCCTGTTTTTTCATTTATTTTAAGACAGGGTCTCATGTTTCCCAGGCTGGCCTCTACTGCTGTGCTATGTGACTGAAGATGAGCTTGAACTCCCGACCCTCCTGCCTCCATCTCTAAAGTGCTGGGATTGCAGGTGGGCGTTACCACACCTGGCTTTTTGTTGCTGCTGCTGCTGTTTGAGACAGTGTCTCACCCTGTAGCCCAGGCTGTCATAGAACTCGACAGGTAGCCCAGGCTGGCTACAAAACATAAGGCAATTCTATCTCAGTCTCCCAAGTGCTACTATACCTGTTTTAACTCATGGTTCCTTAAAAATTTTTCTTACATTTATTTATATGTGGTTTCATGTGTGTGCGTGTGTCAGAGGATGACTTGTCAGTTCTCTCCTGCCATGGGGGCTCTGGGGATTCAACTCAGGTTGGCAGGCTTAGTGGCAAGTGCCTTTACCTACAGACCCTTTGCAGGCCACATTCATGGTTCTTATTTTTCTCATTTCACATTTTGATGTGTGATTTTTGTCATTAAAATTGTCACTTTATTTTTTTTAATTTTAAATTTTATTTTATGTGTATTGCCTGCATGTATGTAAGTGCACCCGTGTCCTGCAATGCCTTGGAGGTCAGAAGAGGGCATCAGATCCCCTGGAACTGGAGTTACAGATGGTTGTCAGCTGCCATGTCGGTGCTGAGAATGGAACCTGGGTCCTCTGCAAGAGCAGTCAGTGCTCTTAATTGCTGAGCCATCTCTCCAACCCCTATCATTCAATTTAAAACATTCTTTCCTTCTGTTTTGTTTCTCATTACACTTATTGACTATTGAGAAATTTAGTTTATTTCAAAAGCTTGGGATATTATCTCTAAGAGCAGTCAGGTTCCCACAAGTTCCCAGAATCTCCTGGAGGTTGCCACAACTTCCCAGAATCTCCTGGAGGTTGCCGTTAGCCATCTTGGGAGGCTGAGGGTCACTACTCAGTGTCCCTGGGAACAGCATGTGGGTGAGTGGAGGCCAGAGCAGCATACACACTGGGTTCCTCTGGGAGCCCCCCTGCCTTGGAGGAAGGAGGTGCAGCTGTCCCCCGTCTGAGTGTCATGTTGCACAGCTGGGCATAGGTCACATCCTGAGGCTCCTCGGATGTATTAGGCTGGAATACAAGATTGAGAGGAAGGTACATGCTTGGTATTGGGAACTTGGGGGCCTGGGGAAAACACGACCCACCTGTCTGTCCATCTCTCTGTCCTCTCCTGACTGTCCATCCTTTGTGTCCAGGAATTCCCTTGACATGACAGCTCCTGCCCTCTGGATCCTGAAGCTATTTACCTGGGCATATGTCTCCCCTTGGGTGCCTTCCTCAGTCTGGCTCTGCATCAGAGAGACAGTGAGACAGAGACAATATGTCCTGGCTTCCCTGAAGAGCTCCAGCCAGGTTTCCACAGGGAGGCCAGAGTCATCCTTGAGACATTTAAATCCACTGTGGCATTCATGATGGGATTTTTAGGGATTTCCATCCTACATTCTGGCCTCTTATCCTAACACTGTGGCCTTTGCTGTCTAGGCTCCAGCTACATGGCTCATGTTGAAAAAATACGATCCTGACTCAGGACCTTGGCCTCTGCTGTATCCTGTGTCTGCATGTGCTGGTCTGTTAGATGTCTGCCTGGGGCTCTCCATCCAGGCTTCCCCTCAGAGGACACCTTTCCAGAGTCCCCCTTCTAATTCCCACTGTCCATATCTGCCCCACACACCCCACCCCTTCTCTGTTTTATTTTCCCTAAAACACACACACTGCACACACTCTATTTGTACGTTGTCTTAGGGCATGTGGGAACTTGCTTACTGCCCCACTGCAGTGTGTACAGGGGGCCTGGTCAGGACGGAGCTCCTGGTGGACAGCTGGGTGAATGAGTGGGATGTGGGGACATTGGGGACGTGGAGACTCATTTGATCATGTGTTCTGAGAGCCCCAAAGCATGCTGACATCCACACAGATGCAGAGGAGCCAGAAAGGGGACAGGAGGGCATGGGCACATGTTCCCAGGAAACCCAGGAGTGAGCCATAGTGTGAAGGAGACAGAAAGGAGGGTCAGCTGTGGGTTCACTGAGTGCTGAGCGAGGAGGACAGAGAAGGTCCCCTGCACTAAACCTGGCTGTGTGTTCTTAGGGCTGTGGATGGGGACAGGGATCTCACCCAACTGTCCAGCTCCATGTTGTCCTCAGGCTGTGTGTCCTTTACAGCTGCATCTATCATGGCAGAATAAACACACAGTCTCCTGGCTAGAGTCCCAGGATCTCTCAGTCCCCCCAGATCCCTGCCCTGTTCCACATGGGGACAGAGAACCAGAGAGTGTGCTGATGTTTGTAGATCCAAAGTGTGCTGACCACGGACCCTCCCTACTACCCCCGTGATACCAAGACACTGGGCATCTCCCTCCCTAGGGCCCTGTTCCTCTCACACAGGTCTTCTTCCTGGATGGCAGCGACTGGGTTGGATCTGGAGGGGCAATGGGGTGTCAGATGGCAGTGAGGGGTGGCAGGCTGGTGGAATTTTGGGTACCTGGGCATGAGTTACCTCTTCTGAGGACCTCTGTCCCTTAGCACTGGTTCTGCAGTCCCTGTAGGAAGATGCAAGTTAGCTTCTGTCTGGGCTGCAAGAGAGAGAGGCATCTCAGCCAGGAGGATGGGGATCCCGTCCCCCAGCAGCTTCAGGGAAGGATGGGAACTTGGCAGCACACGGGGAAGTGTGTGGATGTCCGAGGAGATGGAAAAGCTCACGGGATACCTGGCATTTGCACGAGATGACCTGTTTCTGGTCTGAAATTCTGCAGAAGTGTTTCTAAGCTGACCTGCCCAGTCTTCCCGCTTTCCCTGTGGCTGGTGCCCTGAGCTCCTGTTAGGATGGCCCACGGGGGAGCCCACCACCCCCTGGAGTCCACGTCACCTGCATCCTACTCACCGCCCTTCCTTTGTTGGCCTTGACACCTGTGTCGGAGAAGGAGGAGGAAGAGGATGAGGAGGAAGAGCAACAGGAGGAAAGTCACTGAGACCCCAATCAGAATCTTCTGGTACGTTTCCAGTCCTGGGACACAGGTGACATCATAAATGCGGGATGCTGCTGCTTACCTGAGCACTTACTGTGTGCCAGGCCCATACTGGGTCTTTGCATTCACCACCTCCCACCCTCACAGTCATGAAACACAGGATCATCTTCCCCCAGTTACTAGCTAGTTCACCTGCCCCAGGTCACCCAGTGGCAGAGTTGGGGTTGAACCCTTGGAGTTTGACTTCAAGCCTTGTTCCTTCAACCATGCGCCGGAGGAAAGGAGCCTAAATATCCTGATATGGCCTCATGCCTTACCTCTGCAAAGGTCAACATCACTGGGCCCACTGCCTTTATACTTGGAGAAACTGAGACCCTTCCAGGGGATGGGCTTGTCCAACTCAACATCTCTAGAAGAGGTTGCATCAACCTCGTAACTGTCTCTTGCCCGCCTGAACCTGCCTTCCAACAGAGTCCTCATTTAGAAATTTGGGGCCTGATTTCATGGGAGTGAGGCTGGTTCTCAAGGCCTCATGGTGGTATGGGAAGGTGAGAGTGAGGACTGCCCACCTCAGCCCTGCTGCTCTTCTGGCCTGAGCCCCAACCCCCTTTTTATTCCCTGGACAGTCCCTCTGATAGTCCAGCCTCTAAGGCTTGGGCTTCTGGGGTCTCTGTTGGGGTCCCTCTTATCTCTAGGCTCTTGGACATAAGCTTAGCCAACACAGGAACTAGGACTTAGATGGGCCCATAGTCTACAGCATGGAACAAAGTCCCTGTACAGAAGCCCCTCACACTCACCAGCTGTGGAACTGGGTCCTGTGCGTTGTGTGCTGCTGCCCCCAGAGGATCCTGGGAAAGAGGAAAGGGGAAGGTTGAGGCAGAATCTGACCACAGAGGCCTAGGTGCTGTTCACTGTCCCACATCTGCCCTGTGGCTTCCTCAAGAACCTTCTGGTGCCCAGCTGGAACCTTCTAGATTCAAATGAAAGGGGTAGGGTGGGTATTCTTTGAGGGACTACTGTTGACTTGTGCCTATCCGAGGGGTGAATATCCCGACTGAGTCTTCCTATGCTGTCTAATTCCATCCTAGCCAAGGGCTCTCCTGGGGGCAGATTCCTGAGTCACCCTTTGAACTCATGAGGTCAGGGTGCTCTCACCTGACACCACAAGCTCCACAGGGGCACTGGGCTGTGACAACTGGTAGGGGGATGAGCTTCGAGCACCATAGCACCTGTAGGTGCCCCTGAGGGCCGAGGTCACAGCACTCATGGAGAATTCGGCCTTATACTGTTGATCTTGGAACTTTGATCTTTGATACAGCTGGGGATGGACAGCCCCCTTCTTCAACAGAAGAAAAGAGTCCATCTGGCTCCATGACTGACACAGCAGGGTCACATTCTCTCCTGAGGACACGGTGTGGCCTGGCTTCACAGAGAGGGAGGGTGTGACAGGGAGCTGTCCTAGAGAGAGGAGGGATGGTGAGCAGCGTCATCTTGTTCTCAGCTGAGACCTCGCCAGGGTCTGTCTCTGTGAACCTGGGTCTCTGTCTTCTCTACCCTGTCCCTCCTCTGCTCCCCTGTCTCTATTTCTTTTCCTCCTTCTCACCCCAACCCTCATCTTGACCACCAATCCCTAGACTCCCCCAGCAGGGCTGGTAAAGAATCTGGATCCCTAACTGGACGCCCTGGGCTCCTCACCTGTGACCAGGATGTCCACGGCCTTACTAGGGGCTGACCACTCTGAGGAGAGGCTGTGTGCACCATAGCACCTGTACCGGCCTCCAGTGTGGACCCTCACAGGGCCCAGTGGGAAGCTGGCCTGAAATAGACCAGCCTGCAGCTGTTGGCCAGGACTGTAGGAGAGACCAGTTTCCTTCTCTTTGAACAGGGCAAAGTGATTGTAGCTGATGTCAGAGCTGCACTGGAGGGTCACGTTCTCTCCAGGGGCCAGGATAGGTCCTGGCTGGGTCAGCAGGGATGGCTCCTTGGCCTGCCCTGGGGGGAAGATAAACTGGTGATTGAAGACCTGGTTCCTGACATGCACTTGCCCGCTCCCAGTCTGCCAGGCAGGCTTCACTGGCCTCACTCTGTGGGACTCGGTCAGGAGCCAAGAGTTCCTTCAGCCACCCTCCCACATGGGACTCCCCTAAGAGCAGGGCTTTAGCTTCTGAAAAATTATTGCATCAATGATGCGGCTTCCTCACCTGAGACGTGTATTTCCAGGGGGTCACTGAGTTGTGACCACACCTGTGGTCTTCTCTTATAATAGCCGTGACAACGGAATGGTCCCCCGATGCTGGGGGTCACAGGACCCACAGTAAACAGAGCCTGGAACTGACCAGTGGAGGCTAAGTACTGTGAGTCCTGGGAAGTGGAGGTCTTCTGTCCTCCTTCCCTGGTCAGAGTGAACCCACCATATCCATGTCGTGAGACACACTGGAGGGTCATGTTCTCTCCTGAGGTCACCACAGGGCTGGGCAGGGCTGACAGCTGAGGTTTACTGTGGACTGTTAGGTTGGAAGGAGGCTGCATGTTAAATGAACTCCCACATTGTCTCCCAGGGTTGGGCTGTGAAAGACACCCTTAAGATGAGAACACTTTTCCTGTTGGCAGAGAAGGGGGATGGGGAGCCTGAGTTCCCTCACCTGTCATCACCAGCTCCAGGGCGTCACTGCACTGAGTCCAGCCAGCAGGACTGTAATAGTAACAACAATATCGCCCTGCATATTGCTCTGTCATGGATGAGATGGAGAACTTGGCCTTGTCCCCGGGCTCCATTGGGATCTGTGTGTCCCAGGGTGCTGAGCTTCCCTCTTTCTGCAGAATATATTCTTGGGCATTGAGAATCCCCTGACACCAGATGGTCACGTGACTGCCTGAGGCGATCACAGAGCTTGGCTCAGCCCTGATGGTGGGTTTGTGGTGAGTCTCTGCAAGGAAGGAGGGGCCATGTCAATGGGTCTCTTTGAGCAGTGGCACAGTGATCTCTACACTCAGAGATGACTCTCAGGCTGACCCTGGGTAGCAGAAGGACCCTGGAGCCCTTTGGAAGATCCATCTCCGTCCTGGAAGTCCCAGCCTTCACTCTCTCTGTCTCCCCTTGGCTTATGTATCTTAGGTTTCACAGTTCCCACACTCTGTTGAAGGTCTCAGAAGCCATAAGTTCCAGTGTCATTCTAGGGCGAGGCTGGGGCTTCCTCACCTGAGACCTGGAGCTCCAGGGGGTCACTGGGTTCTGACCACAGCTGTGGGCTCCTCAGATTATAGCTGTAGCATCTGAGCCTCCACTTTTGACTGGGGATCACGGGGCCCACAGAAAACAGGGCCTGGTACTGCCCTGTGGAATATGTATACTGTGGGGTCAGGGTCCAGGAGAGCTCCTGTGGTTCTTCCTTCTTCAGCACGAATCTGTCATATTGGTGTCCTGAGACACACTGGAGGACGATGTTCCCCCCTGAGGCTACTGCAGGGCTATACTGAGCTGAGAGGCTGGGTTTGCTGTAGTGGTATCCTAGGAGAAGAGGCAGTGTGTTAAGTGAACTCTCACCGCCCCCACTGTCCTCCAAGGCTGGGCTGTGAGAGGCGGGAGACATCTGAGAGCAGGACCCCTTTCCTCAGAGCAAAGACTGGGGCTGAGACCCCTGAGTGACCTCACCTGTGACCACCAGTTCCAGGGGATCACTGAACTCTGACCAGCCAGCAGGAGTTTGATAGTTACAACGATATCGCCCTGCATGACTCCAGTCAAGGGATGGGATGGACGACTTAGCCTTGTTCCCAGGCTCCAGCAGGGTCTGCATGTGCCCAGGATATGGGTCTCCCTCTTTATGGAGACGGTACTCCAGGGCCCCTGAAGTCCCCTGACATGAGAAGGTCACCTGTA